AAATGACAGAAATGTGATGTATTCCTGTGTATGAATGCAAAGCAGGAATGCTTTGCAGCATACCATCAGAAATGAGTGGCCAAAGGCAAAATAAGTGCTGTTGCACCGCTGCTGTTGCACCCCTGACCAAAATCATTAGTGCAGTTGCACAACAGGTCAAAACCCATTTGTGCTGTTGCACGACCACCAAAAAATATTTGTGAGTGAGTAATATTGGTCAAGAAATTGCACTTAATGTGACTTGTTCTGAATGTTGTTCTTTTATTATGAACAGACGTTTCAACAGTTTGGTAGAGGACTGTATCTGAAATACTGTAGGGTCTAATTTTAAAAAAAACTATTGATTGTTGTTATTGTTATAATAATTGAATAAAAAATGCAAATAAATAATTTTTCCTTTGCTTTTTTCTTGGTGCATACCTTAAAGGGTTAACCTGTTTGCATCACAGAAAGACCATCGATATGAGCTGCTTTTTAAATAAGTTATGCCCAAGCTCTGAAACAACTCTCTCTTCTACAAATACTGTTATTTTTGCTTTGGTTTTGTAGATTTATGTATTGCAAATTGTTGCTAGTTCTTTTCTATAATGTTGTTGTAGCGCAATTGGCATGTGCTGATGTGTACAGAAGAGAGAGAGAGAGAGAGAGAGAGAAGAGAGAGAGAGAGAGAGAGAGAGAGAGAGAGTTTTTTTGGCATCAGGCAATTCTTTTGGATATGTCTCCCCAATGTTGCCGTAGAGCCCTTGCTATAACAAAGTATACAATGTTGTTGCTGTATCTTGGTATGATGCTACTGTTGCTGCTGTTGCTGCTGTGTGGCGTATTGATGAGTGTAATGAATTTGTTAGCCCACCCACCCAAAATCAGCCCCAGCCGTCACTGGTTATTATTGTAACACAGACTGAATTAATTAAAAAGAGGAAAAGGAGGAGTTGGAGATGGAGTCAACAAATGCTGTTGAACATAAGATTAGAGCTGGTGATCATGATCATAATATTAGAGTCAATAGCATCATAACATTTAGGTAGGGTTTGCATGGTTGTGTGTTTCCCTGCAACAAGGTGGTCCCATTGAGGAAGGAGGTAGAACCAGTCATCCACTCATCAGAAGGTTCAATCCTCGGCTCCTCCTCCTGCATGTCGGAAAATAGAATTTGGAATTTTAGAATACCTATCTTTAAAGGCTGTTTTCTCATAAGATTTTTCTCACACTTTGAGCCACAAATCTCCACTTCAGTAGCACTTATATACACCAAACCTTCCAGTTGTATTCCTATCTCTATTCAGAAGGTTTTTATAGAAGGATTTCATTAGCATATGCTTATGCTGCTTGGATTTTGTTGAGAGCCAACATCATAGAGACTAAAAGCTCTACATTTATATACAGTGCTGGAGTCGCACAGAGGTGGTTGGGGTGGATGGCAGCCAAACCTAGGCACTATTTCATTTGCACTCACATCAATCAGATATTCTGAAACAGCAGTGAATTAAACAAACAGCAATTAAGACTGGTGTAGAAATAAACTTAAAAAGAATGCACAAAATTGTATGAAATTAAAAAAAAAAGACTGTAGCCATGTCACTCACCCAGCGCAGGTGGAGGATGGTTGGATGTTTGTTTGAATTACATTGATTACACAGCCACAGCTCTGGTCGCCATCATTCAACACATAGTTACTTTAGTAGTTACTTTCATGTTCATCCAATATGGCTGAAAGTAATCTGTAGGTGGGTGATGGATGGTACAATCCTTCACTTAAATCATAAAAGCATGGCATCAGAATTTTAACATACATTTGTGTTCTTCCCCTAATGTTGCACTGTATTTGCCAAAGGTGGGACCAAGTCATTGTTTTGTAGGTCACAGGTAAGTCTCAAGTCAAGAATGGCAAGTTCCAACTTGGGAGCAGCAGGAATGGCATTTCACTATCAGAGCCCAGTATGCACTTGTTGCAATATTTGTGGTCAGTGGACTCCAAGGAGGTAACTGGGACCCTCTATGAAGGCTTGGAGTACACAGGTCAGAGTAAGACACTACAATTACAGCAGAGTGCTGTTGTATTGGTGTTAAAGTTTGATAAAGATTGATCTTGAATGTATTAGGACACAATTTCACTTCCTGCTGTGGTTTTTAAAAAGCAAACCAAGGTACCTGAAGTAGTTCAGATATGGGAATGTCTTTCAGCACTTTTTCTTCAAACTAACAGAGCAAGGGGAAGTATGTACGTGAAAATGGGAAGAGAGAATAAGAGGCCAGGAAGATGATGAAAAATAAAGCAACCCAACTTCCTGTTGGCTCATGGACTCGGGAGCAAACCACGTCATGCCACTCTTCCCATTGTTTCCTCCTTCTCTCTCTCTCTCTCTCTCTCTCTCTCTCACTCTTCTCTCTCACACACACACACACACACACACACATACACACACACGCAGACATACACGTACACACACACAAACACACACACACACACACAGTATATAATATGCCCTCCAGCCTTTGCTGCTCTTTTCTCCCACAAATAGGTTTCCACTCATTTATTACCAGGATGAGGAACAGATGCCTTCTCTTAACTTTGCTTTCTTTTTTCTCTGAAATGTTTGCATGTGATCTACTATCACACAAAATGGAATTATTTGAATGCCTAAAGTAAGAGAATAACTGTCCTGATAATCACAGATTCATGAAACTTTTTTTTAAACAAACACAACAAAATTATTCCCTCCTGGCATAAATGGAGTTATTTTGCCTTGGTCTCATTTTCCTTGGAACTTAGGCTCTGGGAGCTTCCTGAAGTGTTGGACAGAATGAATAGCATTATGATGGTTATGCTTTTTACCAGGTTTTCCTTACGGTGGTGCTAGAGGAAAGTTCATATGGTCAGTACAATCTCAAGGGCTTACCCCCCTTGAGACCAGAATGTGCCCAGCAAATTTCATGGCAATCTGTCCATTTTCATATTGCATTAAATAAAATAATGCACAAAATGTGTTACACAGAACCATCTGGGGAGTCATCGTGGGAAACAGTTTAGAAAAGGGCAGCCACTTCTAAAAACTATTGCAGATGATTGGATGAACCACCATCTATCACAGTCGAAATTTCAACCGATGAGATCAATGAAACACATAACGTAGTTGTCAGTCAGGAGAAGAGTGAAAACATCTTTCCCATTGAGAAAAGCCTTCTAAAAGCCTAAACTAAGGGCATTCATACACATTCAAACATAGATGCACAGCATTGGGAGCAATTTGGGGTTCAGTATTTTGCTCAAGGACACTTCAACATGCAGTGAGAGGAGCCGGGGGTTGAACCGATTCACAGAAATACTCCCAAGTTCTAATATAACTGATGCTAGCTGCAGGTAAGCTAACCTCTTTATCAGCCACCATTACTGAATAATGAGTGTCTTTTCACTGCATCACACCTAGTGCCCACCCCTAAAGGAACAGTACTTCCTCAACGGATGCTGATTGGTCTGGTACCACCGTAGTTGGGCCAAAAAGGCCTGGCAAGATGGATTCTGGTGTGATTTTGTGACACGCGAGTCCATCTCAGTGTGCCTGACTCCACCTGCAGGTGGATCCAATACTTCCTGTCTGACAGAAGGTGGCATGCAAATGTGCGTCTGTATCAGCATCGGTTCCCGTCAAGGCTGTGTCCTTTCCCCTCTCCTTGTACACCAACAGGTGCATCTCCAGGCATTAGTCCATCAAGCTTGTGGGTTCATTTCTGGTGGGGGTGAGTCCACCTACAGAAGTGAGACTGAGCATCTAGTGGACTGGTGCAGAGTCCATGATAGAAGCATTAAAGCAGCTTTATGTCCTCTCTTTTACTATTTAAAATACAATGACCAGGTATATCAACTGCAAACTCCTATTTCGACAAATGGGAGAATTTTTGCCATCAGGCAGGACATTTGGGAAGCCTGACCACCCCATTCAAAGGTGTTAAATTGATTAAATCTGCCATTTGGAAGACCTTTAATAGTCTGGTCAGGCTTCCCAAATTTCCTGGATGCCATTGCAGAAATGTTCCCATTGGGATGTGTGAGGGATTGGGAATTGCACTTTCAAGATCCAGCTGGCCCGAAACAGGCTGTTGGGCAAGCCCTAAAATACAGATATGCTCTTGATTTATTGTTAAGAAATTGAAGTAGCTTTATAAGAGAGGCTGCTCTTTTACTGGCTGATTCCACTGGGCATGGCTCTGCCACATTCTGGCTTTCCTCTTCTTTACAGTGAAAACACAGCTGTAAAAGATGAGAGGAGAGAACCACTGTCCCTCTCTTCTGTAGAGCAGTCATGTTCAACCCAGCACGCCTGTCATAGACAGTAGCCAAATCCAACAATCTAAATAATTCAGCTGACCGACCATCATGAGCTAAACCTGCTCAGCTGACTGTGGGCTCTGAACTCTCATTAGCACCACAGAGGATCATATTGCCCTCAGCCACAGCAGCCTGAGCTGTTAATTCGATTAAATTCAATTCAATGTTATTTGTATAGCGCCAATTCATAACATAAGTTATCTCAGGACACTTTTCAAATAGAGCAGGTCTAGACCGAACCCAACAGTTCCCACTCACTAAAAGCTCACACTTCAGATTTTACTTGTCAAAGTTGCAGTGAGTACTACTACATAGGATATTTGCTCTGTACATGGTTCCCTTAGGTAAAATTATTAGCAAAAGTATTTAATTTACTCTGATAATATCCAGCTGTATGTGTCTTTCAAACCTGAATTCTTTTAAATACAATTTGCGTCATTAAGGACTGGATGGCTAACAACACAGATAAGACAGAGGTCCTTATCATTGCTTCATAGCATAGCTTCCAAGGTTGCTCTGTGTATTGGGTTCCATTATAGTCTTATAGATCTCAGTGTTATATTTGATCAGGCTACGTATTTGACAGCCTCCAGCACTCTGTTGATCTGTCTGTGTTGTTGGAATAAAACTGAACAGGGAGGGACATAAGGCACTGAAAGGCAGAGCTGCCAACTCTCACGCTTTCGCCGTGTGACACACGGTTTTGCCTGTTTTCACACGCACTCACGCCACACATCCAATTTCTCACGCAAAAAAAATCCGATGTTGGGCCGTTTCGATCCCCTGCAGTTTGTACCGTCCAAAGACAATGTTACGCTATAGTAAACAGAGACTCGTCAAGCACTAGGACCAAACGGAAAACGGCCGCTCAAGCTGAAGCCTGTTTCCCTTAGTTTAGACCCGCCCACAAGCTCCTCGATTGGCTCTGCCGTTTCTTGTGTGATTGGCCGTCCCCACTGTCACTCCATCTTGCTTGCACACCGGTCTGCGGGAGTTGCCCAGGTAATATGAGAGGTTTAATTTACATTCACGTTTGAATCGGTGTTCATGTGCGTATGTGTGTGTGTGTGTCCAGAATGTTCATTCTATATTTACATTTACATTCTTAATAACCCGTCAAACCTAAAAAGGGAACAGTAAACGTAAAAGTAGCAAATTACTACTATTGTGACGTTGGGGCGCCCAGTGGTTAGCTCAATCGGAGCGGCGCGGGCTCGAATCCGACCTGCTGCTCTCTGTCATCCCCTCTCTCTCCACCCACCATAAGTCTCCCTACGACTGTCTCTATAAATGAAGCCATCAAAAGGCAGAAAAAATAACTTTAAAAAAAAAATACCTGTCTCCCCCCCCACCTCTGAAATCAGAATTCCATCCTTGATCTGAGCTGAGACTAGGTATGTAACAATGAAATGTCGTCCAATTGAGTACTCACTCTCTTAAACTTTAAATTTGTTTGTTTGTGTGAACATGATTTAGTGTGGTGAAAGCTGTCATAATAAGCAGCAGGAGAGCACCTTGTTAACCTCGTGGTATACTGCATGCTCAAAACATCAGCTCATTGCATTGTTTATTTACTCACAGTTTAACACCATTCTAATCAAAATATCAATCAACCTACAGGTACCTAGGTCCAATCTTAAACACTGGTCTATGAATAAGGCTTTATTGTGATACAGGCAGTCATTTAGGCACAACAACAGTTTTCTGGTTGAATGTTCAGCTCAAGTCTAGAAGGCCCTACAAGTCATGATGCCGAACATGAATCAGGTATTGCACATCTTTAGCAGACCACCCAAAAATCCACTAGAATGCAGGAAATCAAATCTACTTAATCCAAAATTATGCGCGGCATAATGTTGGTCACCACCGACAAACTCTCACTCCAAGGTTTTTTGAAAAGTTGGCAGGTATGTGAAAGGTCTGCTAAATAACTCAAGGCCTTTGTAAGAGATCAGTAATATCTTAAAATTCATTATCAAAGCAATAGGTAGCCAGTGTAAGGAAGCCCTGATCGGTGTGATGTGATAGTGTGTTTTAGCCCGAATCAAAGTCTCGGCAGCAGAGTTTTGGATGAGAGGGATTATTTTACTGATGGGAGAGAGGAGGGAATTACAGTAATCTAACCGACTGGTTATGAAAATATGAAAAATGATTTTCCAGATTTGTGGCAGAGAGAAATGGTCTGATCCTTGAAATGTTTCTGAAGTGACATCTTTTGCTACCTGTGAGACCGCTCAACCTGTCCGCTGCCTGCTGACGTCACACCCCACAGGATTCTGGGAACTGTAGTCCCAGCTCCAAAAATGGGCTCTGGGTTCCTGCACCCCTGCAGTAGCAATTCCTGACTCCCTCAGGAGTCAAATTCTAACAGGTAATCTGTTTCTCACCCAGCAATTAATAAAATAATACATTCACATGAACAAGTATATATTGACAGGCTTAAGGAAGTTATAGAGAAATAGGTGGGGAAGGAAATAAACAACAAATAAATAAAATAAATATTGATAATGACATTGTTGATGGTAGTAATGATGATGATGATGATTGTGATGTAATGGTATTATAATGGTTATTAAGATAATAATTACAATTGCAGCTATTATTATTATTATTATTATTCAATATGGTTCTGATATGCTTAAAAAGATTTGCGAATTGTGGAGATTTCCCATAGGAAGATAGTAATCCAGATGTCAGAACTCAGCGTCTCTTTGGCGTCTGTAGAAACTCCATATGTGAAGTTATGTGCAACGTAGAGAGGAGCTTGATTCTTTGGCTGTAATATCAGTACTTGTCCTTCTATGGTGGCTCTCTTTTAGGAGTATCGTAAGTCCTTCTCTGCCAAAGCTGCAATGTACATTCAGATTCAGTCAGAACTAGATTGGTATATAGTCGTCCTGCCATTATCAGCAGACATTTTACAGGTTATAAATTGCTAGTCTGCTATCTTTGCAGTAAACTGCAGAGATGTATCGATGCTGAGACTGAGAGTATTAACAGCCATTCATTCCACTGAGGCATTTAAAACATATTCTTATTATGAAAGTATGAGGATTAATTAGCTGGCCCCTGCAGTAGAGATTCCTGACTCACTCAGGAGTCAAATTCTAACAGGTAATCTGTTTCTCACTCAGCAATTAATAAAAACAAATCTATATTGACAGGCTTAAGGCTTAAATAAATAATAGAGAAATAGATGGGGGAGGAAATAAACAACAAATAAATAAAATAAATGAGGTTGATGGTGGTGGTGATGATGATTGTGATGTAATGGTGATTTAAGAGAATGATTGTGATTATTATTATTATTATTATTATTATTATTATTATTATTATTATTGTGTAATGTGGTTCTGACCTGCTGACAAAGATTTGCGGATTGTGGAGATTTTCCATAGTTTGGAAGATACTAATCAGATTTTCAGAACTCAGAGACAAGGATTAACTTGCTGGAATCTAAGCTAGCTGATAGTTGGTTGCTGTTAACAATTTGACGTTTGCTTTTACATTTTCCAGTTTTAGATTGATGTTTGGGTAGTGATATTTCTCTTTTAGTGGACAAAATGATAAAAAATGAATATAAAAATAATATTTGACACAGTATGTCAGTTAACTCATCTTTAGTTTAAAACAAAGTTAGTTTTTAGTGGCTAAACGGCTGTTAGCATCATCACAAGCATTATCTAACAACTTCCCTATGTTCAAGAACTGCTCTGCAAGTACTGGCAAATCTCAGCTGCAGTTAAAATTCGTGCTAATTTCTGTAAATCAGCCTCCAATAGCAGGTCTATGCTGGCTCCCAAAAGTGACCCATGTCTGTAAAAACTTGCAGTTGGCTATTTCAGAGCAAGAAGTAGTAAAGGATCCTCTTTTCGAAGACGTTATTAAGGATACATTGTTAGGTTGTTGTTAAAATCTCCCTTCTCCTTCTTCAGAGTATATTCTTAGGTGTTCCACAAGCAACAAAAACAGAACGTCTTATCATTGTTTTCTCAGCTCCTCGCGATCTTCCATTTGCAACATATCTGGCTTAATTTCTCAAGAGCCGTTTTCCTATGCTTTGAAGAATGCGCAGTGCCCAGAGGTTTGTGTATAGCTGGGAAAAGCAGACATTGGATGCCTTCAAATTCATACCACTTTACCCTTGCATGGCATCTTTTCGGTGTAGATGGTTTCTAATTGTATGTTTCTGTTAAACTGGCATTCGGTTGCTGCAGTAGCCCTTCTTGACAGAAGCAGTTTGCTGGTTTCTCTACACATTTGCAAACTCGTTTCGTCTTGCATCTTCTAGATGGTTTTCTAGTAGTTGACTTATCCTTGTTCCTGCCAGCCCGCAGTATCTCTACAGTCAGAAGCTTTTCCAGGAGTTAGGAGTACCGCTTTCCAAGAAACTGAAGACCCTTCGCGCGTTTGGGATTTCTTTGCATAACCCTTGATAGTGTGCTCATGCAAGCGTCTCTGCAACAAGACAAGCTGTTTCGCATCAGAACGGCCATCAAATCCGGTCTGCCGCCCCATTCTCTCTAGAAGAGTTTGTGCTTTCTCCCTCAAGGTCATCCATATCACGTTGCTGGGTCTGGCTAAAATCTGTTAAAATGTTAAGATACTGCGTATTAGACTAAGGCTGTTGCACAGATATGCGGTTCTAGTCTTTGTTATTTGATGATGGACCAGCATTTCTTTTTAAATGACTAAAAGGAATATGCAGATTCCCCTAGTTTTCACTTTTCTCTGTTGGTTTTTGGGGGGTTCTCATAATGAGTGGTTTGCAGACGACAGAAATTCAGTTCCTACATTCACTGCTCTTTATGAACTCTACCCAATTGTCGTTTGGGGCAGCAGATGGTCCCAGAAATATTATGGCGTTTTGTGAGCTGCCATAGTGGAAATAATTTACAGTTTGTGCATTTATTGTTTAACTTGATCCTAAAATCCTCAAATGCAAGTATCAAAGCTATGCTAGCAGGAATTCAGTTTCACATTCGATGTAAAGATCCAGCATCCCATAGTCTTCTGGGAAGTCCTTCCATTCAGCTGGTCCTCAATGGCTTTAAACGGCGCATCCTCAAGGCAACGATAAGACTCCTCACACAATTCACTGGTGCATTAAGTGTTTTCATTTATATTGATATGTTGGAAGAAGTTCTGTTTGTCTGGCTTTTACAGGTTTCTCAGGTGTGAATATGCATGCAGATCTCATCTTAATCCTCAGCATAATCTTCCCTTCTCTGATTTAACCTTAGAAAATCACATCACATGTGCTCAATATTCTTGACACACTCATAATCTGATAGATCTCACCAAGGCACTCAAATTTCATTGCTATGACTAACACTACATTTTGTCCTTTCTCTTCTATGATGAAATCCCTGCATCATCGCTCCAACCCATCGGTTGGCTCCCTTGTTCATTGTCGTTGGTTGCAACCCATGGCGAGATCCCGGTTCTGCTTAAGATGTGTGATGTCTGCTGAGCTGTGGCCTAACGCGAACGCTATCCCTTCACCATCTAAGATGCTCAGCTACAACCACAGCTGTCCATCTGCCCGCATCAACCAATCTACCAAGGCTAATGTCAGGCTCCACAAGAAGGAATTTTGGCCATGCAAACTCATGAGCTCCTGCTCCCCTTAATACATTTATCTGCTGACACCCCAACTGGTCGAGGCAGACGACCACCCACCTGGAGCCGTTTCCTAGGTTTCTGCCACTTAAAAGGCAGTTTTTCCTTGCCCCCGTCGCCAAGTGCTTGTTCATGATGGTACTGTTGGGTCTCTGTAAACAATGTTATAAGGAGTCGGTCTAGACCTTCTCTATTTGAGAGTGTCCTGAGATAACTTATGTTATGAAGTGGTGCTATACAAATTGAATTGATTAATCATATATTTGCAAATCAGGTGGTTGCTGGGTTTAGACTATCTATATCTTTGCTATATGGGAAATGTTCCTGCATAATACTTTGCTAAGTAGCAGTTCACTAGATAGTGTATTCCGCTGGGGCCTAGGTGCTTCAGGGGAATGGCCACACGGCGGCCAAGGTGCCAAGCTAAGGTCTCACATTGCAGTTTCGTCACTAGATAGTATATTCCACTGGGGCCAAGGTGCTTCAGGGGGAATGGCCACACCGCGGCGGTGTAAGGTCCACACATAGAAGTTCACTAAGTAGTGTATTCCGCTGGAGCCAAGGTGCTTCAGGGGAATGGCCACACCGCAGCTGTGTAAGGTCCACACATAGAAGATTGTTTTGGGTATTTGCGCATCACTCCCCAATATCTCATGTAAACATATCCGCGGGGATTGATGAGGTCGGAGCCTAGACGCCAAAATGTAAATATGCTATACTGTTTAATAAACATTCCACGTGAGTTGGCTGACTGAACTGAGGTTTTGATCAAAAATTACACCAAGATTCCTGCAGTGCTAACTTCACTTCTTCCCCAGAGTTCTTGTGCTTTCTTGTCTCGCAGGTTCTCATGGATCCTGGTGGAGCCTCCTGCCATGGTCCTGTTTGACTCCCATTGACTCCCATTGCTAATATTACTGATATTATTGTTATTATACTTATTACTATTATTATTATTACCTCAGTTATTTGTTATCATTGTTGTTTTTTTGTTGCATTTTCTTGTATCAAATACCTGCAGTAGATCCTGCAGAGAATGGCTGATGTAAATGGTGAGCACCTGCAGCCCTGTGGGTTTAAATGGCTGTTTAATACAGAGGTCTTTTGTCTAGGAATCTATTCTACAGGAAGCAGCAACAGTATACACACACACACGCACGCACGCACGCACGCACGCACACACACACACACACACACTCTCAACTTGAGACAATAGGGAGGATAAATATATCGAAGCGGGGAAGGCCTGGCCTTTCAGTCCGCAACATAGATCTAGCTAAAGACAGACATCTTACAGTTTGTGGTTTTTCTCTCTCCAGGTAACAAGAAAGTAGTTTCTCTGTTTTATTGTTTTTCCTGTCATCTCAACACTTTCCCTTTTCAGTCAGCAGAAATCAATAACCTCTGTCTGCTCGTCTCTCTAGCAGTTGGGGGAACTGTGTGAGGCTGTCCCAGAGGTCTGCTTTAAAGGAGTAAAAGTATTTTTTTTATATATATATATAAAGTTGTAGCTGGATGTCTATATAGGTGTTGAGACAACCTGTGAAATGAGGAGTTGGAACAAACTCTCTATTCTGAAGCTGTAGTTTAAAAAGAAGCTTTAAAACAAAGTTTTGCATTCATATATTTAGACTGCTTTAACCACAGAACTGACTTTCTGTATGAGACAACCAGACTAAACTATTCAGTGCACCCTTTTAGGTCGAACTCTCCAGCCACACACATATTGTTTGAATAATACGAAGAATGTACTAAGTGACATGTCAACAAACAAATGTTCATTTTACAGTTTGCATAGATTATTACAACCCTATCAGTGAGGTTCACTGACAGAAGTGGTAACACAAAAGGCCTTTCTCAGTACAAAGTACAGCAAGTTTGAACTTATTTTATTGGGAATTAGAACATGGCATGTTGGAAATATAATCTCCTGAGAGTGGCAAGACACATTGGGGCGGCTGTGGCTCAGAGGTAGAGTGGGTTGTCCACTAATCGCTAGAGCAGAGATTGCATGTTGCAGAAAAAGAAAACATGATATAAGAAACAATGTTTCAAGTACATTTGTGACTTATAGAGGAAACATGTTAGTGGAAGATAATAGCCTGACTGCACCAAACAGTTGCATCTTCTTTGGTCTAAAAGGCAAATTCTAAAAGAGACATACATTCATTATAATAGAGTAGATGACTTTTAGAACGATAAAATAGACTAAATCAATCCCCTCATCAAACCATAGGTCGAAAAAAAGACGAGCATAGTAACATCTGTTTATGTAAGAGTGAAAGCTTCAGGGAAATGGCTCATGTCTATCTGCAACATCACAAGTCAAAACCCAGTTATAGGCAGGCTGAAGGAGTAACAGATTACATGTAACTGAGTTACATAACCAGGATACAAAAAGAAGGTAACTGTAAACCATTACAATTACAGGAAAAAATATATAATCAGATTACAGTTACATTTAGTAAAAATGGGGATTATTAAGAAGGATTATAATTTTAAAGCACATCGGTTTTTCTTTAAAAAGACTCAAGAGCATTGGGCGTGTGGTAAGTGGTACTTACAGTTATTTGGTGGAAAACAGCTCCATCTTCTGGTAGCAGGACCTCAATATTTAACTTTGATGACGTCTGGAGCCAAAGAGCTGTGCTTATTGGAAAGGAAAACACAAGACAGAACAGTTAACACAATGCCCTGCTGTGAAACTGATATTTAATTTGGATCCAGCTCTTGAATAGGAAAAATAATCATTATTATTTAAAATAAATACCCTGCAATAGCCCCCAGTCTATGCATGGTCTGTGTACCCTCCATCCAAAGCTGTTTTATAACTTGTTTGATAAGAGAATAAATGAATAAACACTACATTATTTAATGTTTCTGTTTTTTGTCTGAATTAAATAAAAAAGAAAATCAACATAATTTTTCCTTCAAATTGGCAATTGGAAAAGAAGTTAAACCTAAACCAGAAAACAGCTTGTTTTTTCGCTTTCACTTCATATCTATATTATCTGCCCCCACTGCATATCTACAAAAACACTGTCCTTGGCTATGCTTGTTATAGTCTAGATCAGAGGTTCACAAACTTTTCAGACCATGTACCTGGGTCTCAAGGCATTCTTGATTTTAAAAGGTGTAAGAAAACGTTTTAATAAATCTAATAATATATGTAATATATAATAATATCTCAGCATTACATTCACTATTTGAGTTCATTGTACAGTTTATCAGTTGTTCTGTACTGTTATTGTTATGCATTGAATATAACATGAAATATCCATAAAATATATGTCTAATTGCTCCTCCCATGTTTGTTTACTGTTCATTTAATGCTTCAGAGCTCACCCTGGTAGCCCTGTGTTGAATTTAACAAAGATATGAACTGTGGGTTATTTCCTCAGGTAAAGTCTGCAGAAATATGGACTTACAGAAAGTGTGCATACAGGGCTAGAAATGTCTGTGAGACATCCCTCGTGCATTTGATGATTTGGCAATAGGACAGCTCTAAGCCTTCATGGACCTAACACATTTAAAAGGCTGTGAGTTTGTGAGTGTGGAGATTGGGATTGGGCCATAGCGAGAGTTGGTAAATGGTAAATGGACCTGTACTTGTATAACGCCTTTCTATTCTTCTGACCACTCAATGCCCTTTCACACACATTCACTCAGTGATGGCAAAGCCCATCGAACAGAAACAAGCAGGAGCAATTTGGGGTTCAGTATCTTGCTCAAGGATACTTCGACATGTGGCAGGAGGATCGAACCAATAACCTTCCGATTAGTGGACGACTCGCTCTGCCTCTGAGCTACAGCCACCCTGAGTTGCAGCCATGCTCTAGATTATCCGTTATCGTTAACACTTCTCTTTTGGTTTTTGGTTCAGTTGTGCCTGACTTGTGATGTGGTGGAAAATATTAGTACATTATTAAGAGTGTTTCCTGTTCTGTAAACACTGAGCGCGTCTTCTAAGGACGGACCCAGGGGAACATCGGAGAACACCTTGACCCGAAACTGGACACTCCCAGAGCCAGCAACCGTTTCTGTCGAAGTTAGATAACATGTTGAATTGTAAGGAAAATTGATAACTAGTCAACGCTGATGAGAAATGACCAACTGCTGATGAGAAATGACGTCAATGAGAGGTATAAGACTAGAAGCCTCGATAGAGGTTTAAAAAGATTCTGTGGTTGTTCTGTGATTGTACTTGGTTTTCTGAAGAGTTCTTGGAACTATATTGTATCGATTTGAATAAATCCCGCAAAGGCTGTTCACGAACTTCTGTCTCCACGCATTTTTCCAACAGAAGATTCTCCAGACATACAAATACCTCCCTTCGCCAGTTGTTCCAGGCTGAGCTGCCACGTGACTTTGTTCTATAGGCCATATATATGGCTTCTTGGTTTTTGCTTCTTCTCATAGAACAAATACAAAGATGTTATTTCCAACATATCTACTGGCACAATGGCTACCATCACAGAAATGGTGGGATTCAGTTGTGTGGGCCAAAGTAGAAGTATTTCAGAAGCTTGTACATTTATTCAATTCAATTTAATGGGCTTTATTGGTATGATTGGCAATAATAATAATAGGCATTATTTAGTGTCATCTTCACTCTGCACATGATAGCTGATCTACTTGGTTGAAATGCTCATCCAGAATCCTTCTGTTCTCTGACCTGACCCACATTTTCTGGCCTTGTCAACACAACTGCTCAGTTGGACTGAAGTCAGGTAACTGACTTTGCTTCACTCAGTGCTGCGACTGGTGGCCAGAAGCTATATTACAGCAATACCACTGAATATAATTCAATTTTCAATTCAATTTTATTTTATTTGTAGAACAGAGCAGGTCTAGACCGAACTCCTTATAACATTATTTACAGAGACCCAACAGTACCACAAGCACTTGGCGACGGGGGCAAGGAAAAACTGCCTTTTAAGAGGCAGAAACCTAGGACAGACCCTTCGGCACTAGGTGGGTGGTTGTCTGCCTTGGTGAGACTACCCTTTATATATATTTTTTATATATATTTTTCCTTTTTAAGTCAATAAGAAGACTGCCTACCATCCAGTGTCCAGCTTTCCGGAACAGTGCAAACAAACTTTATGATATTATGTTTAATTCCGAATTGCAATTTCACACAATCAGCTGCCCGCTGCAAGTGTCCATTGTTCCCCTCATTGCTGTGACTTTCCTTTTCTTCTTGCAGGTCTCGTCACTTTCAAAGTGTTATATTATTATACATATACTATATGAATGTTTCACAATCAATGATACATTGGTACATCAGTGTCACCGCTGGTTAAGCTGTGGCAGTATGGAGGACCAAAATTGCCAAATCAAAAATGATTAGATAAATGGCTCAATAACTGAATTAATATGAAATTAAATGCACTAAAATAAAACAATGTAGCCAATAATGTGACATTAATTGATATTTTTGTTTTGATATTTACTTTTCTATTTTATTAATGTATTCATTCTTTAATGCATTTGTTATTTATGTATTTATGTCTGTATTTTCTCTTTATATTTCTTTCTAGTTCCAGCACTTTGAGTGGTCAGAAGACTAGAAAGGCGCTATACAAGTACAGGTCCATTTACCATTATGCAAATGAGGGAGCTCATTCAAAAAAAAAAAATTGTATTAGTCAAGAGCCAGCGGAGTCCAGATTGCCAAGATGGCAACGACCAGAGCTGACCATACAGAGTTTCACAACAGCTCTTCAGAAACTTATGGGGGACGTCAGAGAGAC